AAAACAAGCTAGTATCATATTTGAAAATTAGTTAACGTAAAGTAATAGCTTTTGTACCATATCAAAAAAGGATTCTTTTGTATTTGCTTATAGACAATATTTAGATTAATTCAAGGATCAAGAAATATTGAACAAATATTTATTTACATGCAAGAACTTGATTCAACTCCCTCAACTTCCCTCACAAAACAAAAAGTCAATCAAGGTATGTTTGGTATGAAAGAAAATATTTTTTATTTTAATTTCCTTTTATATTTAGTGTCTCTTTGAGAACCTCCTATATGCCACTAGGGGTGGAGCTATTCTTGTCTAAAGGGCATCAACTGACCTTATGTCTTTTCGTAAAAAAAAAAATACATTGTATAGATCGATTTAAAAAATTCAACATATATACACTATATTATCATTTCTTTGGACTTCTTAACATGTTTACTTCATTATATTTTGAATGCTTTTAGTGAAAATTCTAACCTTGCGACTACATGCCATCTTCCCACCCCAATCCCCACTCACGACAGTTATTTGTCACATTAAACTTTTTTAATATTATTTTCTATTTATTTATCAAACATCAAAAATACGAAAGCAAGAAAGATTACTTCTTCAGGCTAAATACAACAACAAACTCAATGTAATTCAACATGTAAAATCTAAAAAAGTCAGAGCACTACGCAAATCTTATTCCTACCTCGTATTCCAGATAAACCCTAAAGCATATATACGAGGGCAGTGACAAATCTGTGCATAGAGTGACCTGACAATGGTGTAAAGAAGAATAAGGTCAATTAATATCCGTACTAAAAATAGACTAGGAAAGAGCACTAACAAGAGACATTGGAAATCAACATGTTTTTTTTTTTTACTTCTTCTTCTTCATGTGCATAGTGTTTTTATTCCTACTCTTAATGTTTGTTCATAGGGTCTTATTCCTACATAAAGTGTTTGTTCAAATTTGTCACACATAACATTTAACCTAAGTACCTAACTAACCTTTATTTTTATGGAAACTTTAGTAACCCTTGGACAATATATATATAGGAGATTCTCTCAATTACTCAATTTGATTACGGAAAAAAAGTTACATATCCATATCCATGTATTATTTAAAATGACGCTATGTTGTGTCTGTACTGACGTGACTTGCAAATAACATCAACATTATAGGCGCAATTCTTATGGACAAGATTATGTTCAATTACTAGATATTCATGTTGCGTCTTTACTGATGTGGCCTGTAAATAACGTTAACGTTGTATAACTATATATGCGTTAGGGTCACCTTGACCGCTTCAGAGTCTTATGCGCAACTCTTCTAGAGAAGATTATATATGTTCAACTTTTTTATTTTCTAAAATTATGAATAAAGCTCTAATTTTATTATTCCAAGATATTATAGGGGTTGATGATATTTGTATTAACTTTACTCAGCCAAAATTTCTTATGGACTGTGTAATTAGTCAGATCATGTTGGTCAAGACATATCAGGAGGAGTTAAAAGCAGTTTTTTTTTTCTCCTCATTTTACTCTTAGTCAGTCATTTTCTTTTTGTATAGTAGTATTATAATCATTTCTGAAAAACAGCTTTGGAGCTTTATGCATATTTGACTAAACTAAAGAGACTTTTAGGAACAAAAAAAGAAGAAAAACAACAATATCGATCGGTGTAATTCTATAAGTGGGGTCTGAAAAGAGTGATGTGTATGCAGATCTTGTCTTTACCTCAAATAAGTAGAAATATTATTTTCGAAAGACCCTCGATTTTAACAAACTAGAAAGCCATGATCTATTGATCACTAGGTATATATTATATCACATTGTCACATTTGAAAACATCAATCATTTTCAGCAATATTTTGGTCTTTTGGGGAACTAATTAAGTAAAATATAAGCAAGAAGTTTTTATTTCTTTGTTTCTAGCATTAGCTAATAATTGTTCTTCACATAATGTTGTTTTAGTTTCATCAATGACTTTATTCATGTTGGAGTTCTTATTAATCTGAATTCATATCATATAAGATGGGAAAGCGAGGAGGTCATAAGCGTCTACGCAATACAAATTTAAATTAATCAATGCCTCAATATGAATTCTAGAAAAAACTGTTCGCACCTGCGAACATATTATTTTCTCCCAATTTTACTTATCAGATTACACTGGTATATATGTTGTTGTTACTGTATTCAATCCATCTAAAGTGTTGATCTTCCCATTTATCAAGAAAACACAAAAAGAAAATTTTGCTTAATTAATACCCTAGGAAAAACTGTTGGTGGAATTAGATGATATAAATAATTGAGGATTAAGTTAATTAATTAATCTTTTGAATATTAGAAACCCAAGCATAATGCAACATGATGTCAGTGTAGAATCACACCAAACCTCACAAAGTTAATAGAGACAACATTTTAGAACTTACAACTTATGTCAGCAACAACTTGACAATTTAAATATTTCATAATTAAATTATAAATAATTAAGTTTGTGGTAGCCTAATATAGTACTATTGCTTTAACTATAGTGGAAAATCTGTTGCTAATTCCCAACCAATAGATTAGAGAAAAAAAAAAGTATCCTTGAGTTAATTTAAAAGTTTGGTAAATATTAAAAGTGCTTATAAATAAAATTAATTAAAAATAATAAATTAATCACTTTTAACTTATGATGTTATAATTTATAATTATTCATATTTAGTGGGAGGTGAACCAATATACAAATTTCTTGGCAAATGAAGGGCATAAATACGAGGAAGAACGATCGAAAATATAATTATCTTTTGCTTCGACATTAATCTAGTAAGTATAACTCAAAGAAATTAAGTTCTTTCTCCTCTTTGATAATTTTAAGTAATTTATTTAGTTTTTTTTTCACTAGACAAAAGAAAAAAAGATAAAAATATTTATCAACACCTTTTCATAATCAATTTTAACACTCTATCGAACCATTCCTTCTATTTCAATTTATACATGATAGTTGAAATTTTGAGATTCAAATTAATTTTTAATAGTGAACTCAGACCTAAAACTTCAAACTTTTTGAAATAAATTTATATATATATATATATATATATATATATATATATATATATCTATAAATGAAAATTACGTAAAAAGTATTATAAGTCACAATACTTAACTAAAAAACATATAAAAAAGTTTCAATTCAAGAAAACTTGACTGACTCTCGAAATTTCAACCGTACCACATAAATCAAAATGGAAAAAGTTAATCAATTATGAAAAGACTAATCACTCCCCCTCCCCCAACCCACCCACCCCATGAATAAGAATGAATAGATGCAACTGAAACCGAGGAGGAATAGATACATAATATCATATGAAGACAAACTCATCAATATGTAGTTTGCAAAAATGACCAATTATATTACACTACCCCTACCTACCCACCCACCCACTATGAGGGGTGGGGGGTGGAGTGTGTTCCAAGACACAATGATTACAAGGGTCTTGGGGAAGCAGAAAGGTTTGGCGTGGAAAATAGCTACTCTATAGTATGTATGAGAGAATAATACTCTTCAATCTTGACCTAACTAACCCTAAAAATACCCTAACTTTTAATATGTCTCTCTCATCATCCATTACACACTAACTTAGAACCAAAAAGTAAATACATACCTGGTTAGCGTTTGAACATAGATTTTAAATCAGAATTTAGATTGTGAAAATTCAATTTGTAGATCAATTTTTGAAATTTTGAACTTCTTTAATTACATAACTTAAAATTTTAAATTTTGAATTCACATGTGATTGTAATATAGTTTATGTATAACAAGATCAGTATGAAATCAACTCCTAAAATGTGACGGACGATATATATATTGTGTCATGTTGATCCATAATTACTAACGATTTTGATTTCATATTTCCGAGTTGCATTGTATCGATATGTTAACTTGAAAAAAGAGGATAGTACAATTAAAAATTAAATTGATAATATTTTTTTAGTGTAAAGAAGTAGTAATTTACTTTTGTGATGAATAAGCTAAATTTCTAATTATTAAAATTGTGTTTGGTCGGTCGACAATCCGTGTGTTTTGCCTTCACTGTGTTTCTTTTTGTTGCAAGTAGCATACACTCTAATAATTTTATTACTTTGAACCATGTAGTAAATAATACTTATATTGTTCATGTGTTTTCTATAGGGAAAATAAAGAATAATTTTACTACTATTTTTATAAAAATATATTATATTAAACGATGAATATAACTTGGATAATTCTCACCTTTTGAACTAGCTTCTAGAGTTAAGTTAAATTCAAAATTCATTTCTTATCATGGTATTAGAGTAGAGCCTATCCAAATTCTCATTTTCGATGTTGAGTCCTCATGTTAAATTGTCCAGATATTAAATGTCCAGCTCTGGACGTGAGGCTGTGTGTGGGTGAAGATTCTCATTTCTCACATCGATCCTTCAAAAGGATGGGTGGTTTGAATACGATCTGGATGTACAATCCTCACTTCTTGATCTCACACAACATTATTTAATTTTTACGATTTATTAATTATTGATATTATATATTCAGTCAAACACGATCACATAAATTGAGACGAACAAAGCTATACATAACAATTATTGATGTGTTTCTATAGGGAAAATAAATAAAACAAAATCCAAAGTGAACAAACATTAGTGAGAGAATTAACTAGCTAGTGTGTGATAGGTATATAAATAGATAATATATAGTTGAAAGAGAAAAAAAGAATGCCGTAAAGAGAAAGGAAACAACACTGCCAGTACTTTTGCATACCCCTTCTCTATATATAAAAAAATAAAAAAAATTGTCAGAAGTGGACATTAAAATATAAAAAATAAATAAAAAGTTGGGTCCATTTTTTTTATTTTTTTTAAAAAATAAATAATAAAAACAAAAAGATACCAACAAAGCCACAAAAGAGATTTGAAAAAAGCTAGTTGATGCTAAGGATAAAAAGGGTCACTTCCATTGCCATTCAATACAAGTTGAAATTTCACAAAAAAAAAAAAACTTTCTCTCTCAAAACAACAAACAAAAAAAATAAAAATAAAAAATCTTAGTTCATCACCATTCTACATCAAAGCAAAGCAAAGGTCTGTCTTTTACTTACTTATTATTCCCCTTTTGTGTTTTATTCCTTGTGAAAAAATTCCTTTTGTCACACAAAATCCAACTTTGTAATATATATATAATCCTATATATTTTCATTCAACATATATACTTATACATATGATGATTATCAAACATACTTACTATTGTTTTACTCTTACAAACATATGATCTATGTATATAATTGACCAGAAAAAGTAAACAGTAAATCTGACAAACTATTTGTATATAAACAAGCCTAAACTTCTTCAAACATACTTACTATTGTTTCACTATTATAATCATATGCATATCGATTAGAAAAAGTAAACAGTAGTATAATGATCCTTATATAAACAAGCCTAAACTTGTTCAAAATCAAACTTATTATTATTATATACACATATATTATATGTCTAATTATTATCAAGATCAAGAAAATAGTTCTGAATTTAGTATACATAATGTTGAACAGTGTATTGAAGAACAAGTAGTAGTCCATCAAGTACAACAAACAATGCATCCACAAAGTTTCATGAACCCGGTTCACTTCCAAAGCAACTCTGAAATGTTACCATGGTCAATTCCACCGGTTCAACCTTTTTTGAACCCGGTTCACCACCATGATCAGTCATTTCTCCTCCCTCCTTCACCAACGGCTTACGGTTTATTCAATCGTAACACTACAATGGACCAACAACACCTCCGGTTCATCTCAGATAGTTTAGTAGGTCAAGTGGTTCATCATCATAATCAACCCGGTTCAATAGCACCATTTGGTTTACAAGCTGAGTTACAAAAAATGAGTGCTCAAGAAATAATGGATGCCAAGGCATTGGCTGCATCTAAAAGTCATAGTGAAGCTGAAAGAAGACGTAGAGAAAGAATCAATAATCATCTTGCTAAATTGAGAAGCCTTCTTCCTAATACTACTAAAGTAAGTCAACTTATATTATATTATATTATATGCTTGATTATATATAAGAGTTTATGTTATGTGCGCTGACAATGATAAAACATTATATTGATCGATCACCTATTATATGACGATAGAATTATACTGGATATGTTGGTATTGTTGTTGTTGATGATTATCTATAATAAGATTCTATATACCTTTAATTTATAGACATGACTAATGAAATTGTACCGAATATGATGTTATGGTTGATGGTGATAACTTATAATAGGTAACTCTTCGTAGCAAGACCGATATGATAATCTGAATATGTTTGTGTCTATAACCTAAACTCTTAATGTGATGTGTTGCTTTGTTTTATTTTTGGTGTATTTAGGCATTTTTGGTATGAGTATAAGGAATTTTTCATATTATTAAGTTATTTAAAATGATATTTATCGTTAAGTTTTTTTGAAACAAAATATTTTTTTATAATTTTAAAGTTAAGAGAACTTATTTGTTAGTGATATAAAAACTCCTTACATAAACGATTTATATAACTTGAAACACTTGGTTTTAGGCCTTTGAAGACTATGAAATCAAAATAAAAGATTGGTTTATCGGTTATAAAGAAAGATAAATTGGCGATGATGTATATAACTTATACTCTTTGATTTTAGATCTTCAAAAGATTTTATTTTGGATTCTTTCATCACTAGAAAGTAAAAAGTATACGTAGATAATACAAAACCTAGCAACACCAAATGAGTATAAAGTGTGTTAGTACTTAGGTAGGAGTACAAATAAAAGTGAATACCCTTTTCTATTTTTCTTCTATTAATTAAAATTCGTTCCGTTTTAAGTTGTGTGTCCTATAAATGTTTTTAGTCTGTTTAAAAAAATGTGATTTTTTACTATTTTTTCACATGACACGTTAATAAATTATAAGATTAAATAATATTTTGATATATTTTATGTATTTTTTTCTTATTTTTTTAAATCTTGTGTCAAATTAAAACTAGACAAACAGATTAAAATCGAGGGATATTAGTGCTAGTTCCAAGGAAAGTTTGAACAAAGCGTTAATGTCGCAAATTTGACATGAAAAAGAGAAACCACCAAGCAGTTCAAAAGCTTCCATAGAAAATTCTTGCCGGTTATTTAATTTACATTACCCAAAAAAATAAAGTAGTTGTAAAAGTTTTTTTAAAAAAAATCAACAAGGAAAGAAAATATAGTTTTTTAAAAGATTTAATTTAAAAAGAGACAAACACGCATTTTTGTCAGTCATGTATACCCTTTTTTTTTTAAAAACAACTCTATGTACTTCATGCCTAGCCCTCAAAAAACCCCACCCTAAAAATCCTCAATTTAATGATCAATCATATCAAGTTTACAAACCCCAAAAAAAATTAATATTAATATATTTAATATAATTTTATTGATGGAGTTTTAGGAGAGTGATATAAAAATAGAGAGATTCTTTCTGAATGATTCTCGACTTAAATAAGAGTATCAATAGTTCAATATATAAAATAAATGTAGTAGCAAAGAAATTATATTGCAAACAATTAAGAAAAGAATAAGTAGCAACAAAAATAATGCGATAACTTAAAGCAAAGAAAATGAGTTTACAAACCCCATTTTCTTATTTTTCAACTTATACATTCGTGTGTGGTAATTTTCTGAACATTTACGTGTAGTTATCGCTGAGGTGATTTGATAGTCTTTTTTTTTTTTGTACATTATACATTGAGACTTATATATCAATTATATGTTCGTTTGTGATAATTCTTCATATCCTTGATCTCAACTTTAATATTTTATGAACAAACAATTATCTGTAGTTATCATTTAGATGACGATCATAGCTAGCATTATATTGTATAATTCTTCATATCATTGATATTCTTAACTTAGATATTTTATGAACGAATGATTATTTCTAGTTATCATTCAGATGACCTGATAGCTAGTGTTATATATGAACAAAGTTATCATTTAGATGACCTGATAGCTAACGTTATGTTTTTTTTTTTTGTTTTGTTATGTTAATAGACAGACAAAGCTTCATTGCTAGCAGAAGTGATACAACATGTGAAAGAGTTAAAAAGACAAACATCCTTAATATCAGAAACAAGTCTTGTCCCAACTGAAATTGATGAATTAACAGTTGACAATGCAACATCTGATGAAGATGGTAAGTTTTTAATAAAGGCCTCTTTGTGTTGTGAAGACAGATCTGACCTTTTACCTGATTTAATCAAGACATTGAAAGCACTAAGGTTAAAAACATTAAAAGCTGAAATTACAACACTTGGTGGACGTGTTAGAAATGTGTTGTTTATAACCGGAGACGATTATTATTGTGATGATAGCAATAATAATCGAGATCATATAGATCCGTGTACAAGTGGAGACGATGAAGATACTCAGATGATGCAACAACAACCACAGTATTGTATAAGTTCAATACAAGAAGCACTTAAAGCTGTGATGGAGAAATCAAGTGGTGATGATTCTGCTTCAACAAGTGTTAAGAGACAAAGAACTAACAATATCAACATCCTTTCTTAAATTACTTCTTTTCCTTTTATGTGTGTGTTTTTTTTTTTGTTTTTGTTTTTTTGGGGTGTGTGGTTTTTGTTTTTTGTCCATCTTATTAGGACAATATAATGTAGAGAGTTGGTGGTGTCTAGCTAGGGTTTTGGGTTAATGGTAAAAGTGTAACTTGTCATGATGTGTGAGTTGCATATTGGAAAACCCTACCATAAACAAAACTCAGAAGCCAGGTATTTAAGTGGAGAAGTACTATATAGAGGGTCAAATTCAGTATCGGTGGATTTTGATACCGTGTGCTATTGACTTTTGGAGGTTTAATTTCTCGATTATTACAAAAAATATGTTTAGGGTTGGTGCATAGTGGGTTTTTTTTTTTCTGTGTGTCCAAAAGTGTTTGTTTTCCTCGTGTCATGTTCATCAAAAGTTTAATATTTAAATGGAGAAATGTCAAGGGTGAATTCTGTCTTTCATGAATTTTTGGATTATAAAAAAAAATGTAGAGGATTATTTGTTTTTTTGGTGGTGGTGGTGGTGGAGGCTGGGTGGGTGGGTGGGGGGTCCAAAAGTGTCTCAATCAATTGGCTCATGTCTATGTCATGTCCATCAAGAGTTGATCAACTCAAACAAGAAAACCCTTGAGAAAGAAAAATTGAAGAGAAGGATCTTTTTAGTGAAGAGAGAAACATTATAAGAATAGAAATATGGTGAAGTATTTTGATTACATGCTCTTTGTCTCTCTTTTGTTTTTTAGTGTGAAATTTCCTTGTCAACTTCTCTTTCTTTGTCACAATTTATGCATGCTGACAATATGCTTATTTTATCATTTTATGGAGAAAAAAATAAATTATGGGGTGTTTCTTTTTTCTTTTTTCTTGTGGGAATGGGGAAAATTATTGTAAATATATTTATTTACTAGAGTTTGTTGTGGCTCATATATGTATTTGCCTTGTACTTTTCTTCTCAAGGCATAATGCTATATATCACTTTGCTCTTCTTCTTTTTTTTTTTTTTTTTTTAAGTCTAAGTATGTTGTGGGTGATGGTATTTTGGTTTTTTTTTTTTTTTTTTTTTTTCATTTTGGGGTGTTTATTTCAATATTCTATGTAACAAGGGGATGGCAAGATTATCAATGAAATTATTATATATATGTTTCTCATGTCTGGGTTGAAGCAGCATTAATTGTAAATTGTAATTATACTTGTTAGTTACCCATATATATATATTATGATCTTAAATATGTCATCTAATAATTATACACGTGGCTGACTATAAAAACTTTTGAAATTTCTTGCAATGTTAAACCTATCATAATGTTTATGGTGCTAAAAAATATTCTCATAAGTCTAAACAAAGTGATATCAATAATATCTTTTAGGTTATTGTGTCAAGTTTAATTTATTACATGAAAACATATTAATCTTACTATATATTAATTTTACTTGATGGTGTAAAAAATTCTACATGTTCTATAGACTACATGTGCAAAAGCCAATTTTTTCTAAATATTTGCATAATCAGACACAAATTTTCATTATAATATCGGGAATAGGTATTGATCAATTTTCTTTTCTACTGATTCAATCAAAATATTTATGAGTATCGTCACTCCACATTTTTCAGTGGACAAATAGTGTTTCTTTAAGTTGGTAGTACCAACAATTTGTCAATCTTTTTGTTATCTTAAGTCATAGTCAAGTGACAGAACTAATAGACATGGAAGACAACTGAGATTTCATAAGATATTCCAATGTTTTATGTCCTATGGGCCACCCAATATATGATTATGAAATTTTGCATATAGACACATGTAACATATAAAGATGTTGGTCAGGGTTTGACTCAATATTCTTGTGTGTATTTTTAATTTGTTCACTAATCTTTTAGCCTTTAACGTAATCCTTCAATTGCTCCATCAGTTTTTTTGTTGACTTTATAAACACACTTATTGTAACAAAGCGCTACAAGAGAGTGCATAGAAGATATGGAGGAGACTTGATCGATTCAGAAATCTTTTAAGTTTTATATATATAATACCTAAAAATAATGAATTTTTTCGACAAAGTTTCTCAGACGTAAGGTATTTGGAGTAACCACGTATCGAGTTGTCTGTATCGTTTCTAAATATACCTTATCGTCTTTCTTTTAGAGTGATATTATTGTAAGCACTATCGACGTTAAGTTTGATAATATATAGATCAATTTCCATTGAAACTTTCAAGTGGGCCTAATAGATCAAGGCCCAGGTAAATGGGCCATTTCTATCTTATCCAAAGTAATTTTTTCACTGGGCCTCACTTGTATCAGTCGACTAAAATTTTGCAGGCCCAGTATAATAACTATTAAAGCCCATCACACAAAATCTTCATGTTTTAATGCTTACCTAACTCGCATCGGAAAAATTCACAAATAACCATTTTTCGGCCTTTGTAATTGAAAAATAAATATGTGTTGTGAAATTTCTAATTTTACGGGTGAGGCTCCATGAGATTGTCCTGGAATTCGGCCCCTAATATTCGAAACTCCGTGATAATAACTATTTTTCAAAGACATGATCGAAAAGTGACCAGCAAACGCTATTTTGTCGATTATAGCTTCCTTGGAATCCCCATCCCTTCCTTAAGAATAACCTATTTACTTTGTATAAATGGAAGGAAAAGAGATTAGGATAAGCTATTTCCGTCACACCTCTTGAAGTCTGGCCCTTCTCCGAACTCTACTAATATGGTATGCTTTATGCATCAGACCCTCCTAAATTTAGGGTACTACTATATAGGATTAAAATTCTGTATAAAAATAGGAATTAACTATAAAAGATTTGTCACTAAATAATATGTAATTAACAAGAAATTTTAATAATCCATTGCTAAATTAGAATTAGTGACAAATTATTACTACTATTATTTAGTTTCTTCTCTCTTTTTGTCACCTCATGACCTCTCAGTTTGGATAGTACTTTTTTTTTTCATCCTCTCTGTGTATGCATTGAATTATACACAAGATACAAATGTCACAGCTTACACACAACAAACATGTTGGCCTTAAAAGAGTTTTTCATTTTTTGGGTTTTCAATCGACGATATTTGTATTCAAGTCTGATCTAATTCAGATTCATGCATTACAATGTTCATTTATAAGGGTGACGCTAACCTAAACAATAATGATCAATTTCTATCGCTAAACAATAAAGGCGTTCACTAACTCATTTAACAATGTATTAGCGAAGAATTATCATATAATCCTATTATCGCTTTGATCTATTTAGCGATGAAATTCATAGTTAATTCTTTTCCCCAACATTTCTTTTCTCATTCCCTCTCCAGCCTTGATTCGATTTTTATCTATACGTAGATCATTTTTTGCAAAAAGAAATATGATAATGCACTAATGAAGTTATATATTTTTTGTTTCTCATTCCATATTTGTCTTAGGGTCTAACTAATCAGGATTCACGCAGAGAAATGTCCCATATTGGAGGTAAATGCTCCTAATCAAAAGCGTGACTTACATATTGGAGTCAAATTCAAAATTTCTAATTAAGAACGAAGAAGTACTTATCATTCCGTCAAATTGAATAAATGAGGAATATATGTCACTTCACGAGTCATAAATTTGTGCACGTTGGGTAGTAGAAAGACCCCCAACTTCCATCTACACAAGGATGAAAATGTAAATGGCACTATTTGTTGTAAAGTGTAAATAAGGGTTGGCTCATTAATTATTGAGATGTCCATAAAAAGACAAAAAATAAATTGGAAATGAATAAAAAAGAAAAAAATTAAAAGAAAATTTTACAAATCATGTGGGAAGAATAAATTTCCCTATCACACAGTTAATAATAACTAGAATTCTAAGGAGAATAATTGTACTTGTTATCAGTGTATACTCAGTATATAATAAAAATATATAATGTATATACACTTACTACACTATGATTATATACTGGCTAAAATTTGTAAAAATAAAATAAATGTGATTAGGATTATTTTTATTGTTAGTTTTGTTGGAGTGTTGTGCTGTGCAATTTTTATTTTTATTTTCGATATAACCATTCAATATAAAAAGTTGCTAGTCTGATTAATCCAAAATCGCATTATATATGTCTAGTAAGGGAGGGTAAATTACTTAATTATAAGTAGAGGAATTTGAACCATCTCCATACACCCTTTAATTTCGAGTTTTAGGTATTCCGACTCTAAAGAGAGAACGTGTTAAAGCCTGATGAATAGACACAGGATGAACAATTTTTGAATATGAAGGTCAAATTAATTAATGTTCGATTTAAAATAAATTTGAGGTCCTTTATTGTTGCAAAGTGTACACCATTCCTACTGCAATAACTCACAATTCTGACAGAAACCCACTAAAAGAAAGCAAATTGGTTGTTCAAACTTATAATGGCAATAGCAAAGAGTACACCAAACAATCATTCACTCTTGTGGACCTTTTATTGACCAAACCAACATTTTAACATTTTAATTTTTCTTCATCATCATTAGATTCTTTTCTTTTATGTGAAAAAAAAAATATAACATTAAGCTTGTGTTTGGATACACGATATGAAGTCATAATTTTTAATTATGATTTTAAATTGATGTTTAAATATGTAATTTGAAATAATGATTTTAAAATATGAAATTTGTCTTATAAGTTTCTATTTTGTAAAAAAATAAAGATTCATGCTCGACGTGAATAGAATATTTGTATCATGTAAAAGGATTATATTAAAGAATAATTAGTTTTACTATTGTTAACTAGTGGATTATACGAATCACAAGGTAATTATTTTTTGCATGAAGACTTTACTAGAAAAAACTCGAGAAAATCAAGAAATTCAAAAAAATTGAGACTGAAACACCCAACTTTATAAACTTAATTTGATTTATAGATTTAAAAAATTCGACAAAATTAATTTAACTTAATATTTGGGAAAATCGAACAAATTGGTTTCATGCACTCTCTTAGAGGCATCTACGGAGGGTAATTAAAATAAATTTCTTTTACATCAAATATAATTTTAATAAGATTTCAAAAATTAAGATTCAATTAAAGTCTAGATTTTATGCATTTGTCAATCAATTCAAAATATCAGTCAGACATTATTCCAATAAAACAACTAAAAAATCAGACAATTATTTGAATTGGACTTTGTTGCATTAAATGAGAAAATAGCTATTAAAAAGACAGTTTGTGGCACAAATCATCTGATATTATCAGGCTTCCAAAAGAGCCGCATCATAAAAGATGTAATATAGATAATTTGTCTTAATGTGAAAATATTAATAATTACTTTCACCACTCGAATTATAATCTATAGATCAGACGGAGACAATTTTATTAAATTCCATATCTCCAATGGATTATTACGATTGACAATTTGACAAAAATATTAAATAGTGTCATTTTCAACGTATATATACACACACTTATTATGTCTTAATTATTGCTAAATAAAGTTGGTGATCATGATTCTTCTAAAATCTTCAATTAAATAATCAATTTTCTATTAAAAATAAGATTATTTTTTTACAAAAAAACTAAATATGCACCATGTGACTTTTTTATTATTTTCAAATGGGTTTTGTCGATACATAGAGAATTAATATTGTTGAAAAAGCTAATGTCCTTTACGATCTTCTATTATATTTTTAATACAGTACATCATTTGGAACGACTCAGTTTTTTCTTTTTCCTTTTTAATCTCTTTTTTTATTGCATATAGTCCAATTATTAAGCTGTTAAACTTTACTTTTTCTTGAAAGTTCATAGAAGAAACTTTTTGGAGGAATATCTTGCATAAACTAGGTCTTGATTCGAGCCGTTAAATTAGTCATAAATATTTATGTTAAAATAAATCGTTTAAGTTATAGTACATTAATATATGGTCTTTCTTGAATTCAAAATATTTCGTATATCTAGCTATTGAGAATTGTTTGGAATGAAATTGTTTTCTATAATGTGATTTTGTTCTTTTCATTGACCTAAATACACTAATGATTGCTTAAAAGAATTTTACCATTTAAAGTAGTGCTTGAATGGTATATTAGCACAAAAAATGGACACAACTCATGACTCGAATACTATGTTAAGATATTAAAAGAGATCTTAAGACTGACTTAACTCTGAAAATTGACTCGTGGTGTGAGATTATTCAAGATCATACAAGTATACGTACACAAATCATATTAATATGTTTTTTATAAAATTAATTAAAATAAACGCAAGCTCATTCAAACATCACAAACTCACAATTAAAAGCAAAAGTTTTTATTATTTAGATATGCCATTAATTACAATGCTTGATCCAATTATTTCTTGAATTAGAATTATGTGACTATATGAAATTGTTTACGCGGCACAAATTATTACTAACTTGACCAACTCCATCATCTAGAAGGGAAACAAATTAACACTCCAGTCGTTTCAATTTATTTGTCTTACTTTTCTTTTTAATTAGTTTTGAAAGATAATTACTTTTTTTTTTTACAATTCTTTAATTTTAATTCTTCACATGACATGCTTAAGACCAGACATTTTGATAGTATATCTTTAGTTTAACGTCATAAAATTTAAAATCTTCCATCAAATTAAAACAAACAGAGTGGTAGACAATAAATCATTTACCAACAAGGATTGTGGTGAAGTGAAAAATACTTATTCATTCTTAACCAAAAGTCTCAAGTTTGAGTCTCTTTAGGTACGAAATCGCCTTTATTAGGGAGCACTTTATCCTCAATATAAAATTTTCTAATGCGAATCTAGATTTAGTCGATTTCGAATATGAATATCGAATACTGAACGGAGAAAATAATAAATTCATTTTCTAAAAATGAATCCAATGTCCCAAAAGATAAGTTATGCATGGACCTAGTCTATAAGGCTGTAATATAATGGGGACGAATAGAAAGTAAAGTCCCTTTTGTAGTACAAAGCAAGCTCCTCTTTTGGGGTCCAATAAAAATGTAAGTTAGGATTAATATTAGGGATATGTGACTTATAGAGCTGGCAAATATTTTTAAAAAATGTTTTTCTTTTATATGACAATCAGACAAGAAATTGACAGGAATATCCTTCAATTTTTCCACCACAAACATAACAACCTTAGGTCACATACAATGACAATTAGGACCTAGGGAAACCACAGGAGGTTGTGATGGAACGGATATGATCCCTTCATTCTTTATTAGAGGTTTTCCGGATGAGTTGTAAGTAAGATTGGAGTCAAAATTTAATGCTTGTGGGTTTTAAAGTAGCGAATAGAAAGAAAGTCTTTGCTGGGCTGACAAAGATCACTAAGTCATCTATCTTTATATTTGATATTTTAGTATGAATATAGAGTCTATGCAAAAGCTATTGGATTCGTCGGAACCCCCATGTAATACAGTAGCTCTGCCCCTGGTGGTAAGTATGAAAAAAAAAATCCTGACAGAAAGGGATTCTCTCTCTGATTGATCTTATGTGATGTGAATTTCGAAAGAAGCTCATCTATTCTTAATGATGTTTGCGCTTTTACCCAATAAAATCTTTCATATTTGATCGATCAGTGAAAGGATAGCCGAACTCGATTTAGCTACTTTCTTTTTAGTTATTATATCTTTATTTTGAAGAAAGATGGATCTATAGGGATCAGACAAATTTTGTTAAAGTCTCGTCCCCTTATTGATCAAGCAAGGTCGTATTGATACGGAAAACATCAACTAAACACTTTCTTACTCCCACAGATTAGCTAGTGTGCAATAACAAACACCTATAACATTTTCCTTTAACGGGGATTTTTTAGGATCGGAGCTCCAAAACAAATACCAAAACAGATAGTATAAGAGGAGAAACAATGGAAAGGTTATTTACCCTTGTGTTTTGAAATAGTTGTTACTTATTAGGGATATTTATTAAAACCAACTTCTGTCATGGGTGATAGAGAATTTATTACAATATTACTTTATAGGGTTAATTACTACACCGAATTATTGAATTAAATGGCAATTAGTACAACCTACTCTTCATGATGAAAATTACACTTAATTAAAACTTCTTTTCTATTACTTTTTTTTGTCAAAGTATACATCACTCTATCTTTCTTCTTCACCTTTGCTCATAGCTGTCCATTCAATACTTTTTTTTTGTTTCCCACCCGGTGTCCGGAGCCCACATTGGAGCTTCGACTGAATTCGGATCGCGCTCTGCAGGGCCCATTCGGGGGTGGGCGCTCCCAACAGGATTTTCTCCATACCCAGGGCTCGAACCCGAGACTTCTGGTTAAGGGTGAAACACTCCCACCAATACACCACAACCCATGTTAGTGTCCATTCAATACCTTACTTAACATTAGAAATGATAGTCCCATGAAAAATATAGAGTCGTAGTAAAATGAATAAGATTAGATCAACTATAACTAGAAATTTTGATAAAGAGTGTTTCCCTGACTCTTTTACTATACCCTATCTTGACTTAGTCGAAACTTCAAATACAAATATTAGATACCGAGTGATGAAAGTAATCTCAATAGGTAAAGGGTGAACTGATACCACAAGTAATAAGATTTGATTTAAATATCGATACCGAGTAATCCAAGATTTGTTTGCATAATAATTACCTAAATAATTGATTTGGTTATTTTCAATTTTTCACAAACATTGACATGTTCATATGGGTACAGTCATACAGTTGAATTTATGTTCATCAAATTATATTATATGAAAAATATCATATTATATAACACCCCCCCCCCCCCCCCCAAAGGATTCCATAATTCATTAAGAATTTCACGTGAAAGCATCAAACACAAATCAGACAGACAGCAAGAAAAGCAACAAAAACATATCCCGTATTATTTTTTCCTCTCTCCAACATATTTTTTTGGTTGTTTCCTATAAAAATCATTCAAAACAAAAAACGACAATGATATAATTAATATTTATAACACTAAATTCACAAACAAATCCATTTATATTAATTTCCACAAGAAAAAAAAATGTACCCCCAACCCTCCAACAAAAAATAAAAAAAAGGTTCACACTTGGTGAGTCGAGTAGACTCACCACTCGACTCACCAAGTCATTATGGTTTACCACAACCATGCCGGGAGAAACCGATTCTCGATCGATCTCTATCGAATTCAAACATGAACCCTTGTTGCATTAGGTTTCCAATAACCGAAAACCCTGAAGACGCCGTCAACGGTTGCAATGCAAGACATTTAACGTCCTCCGCGGTATCGATAAAGTAGTTCCCGGATGGTGGGGAGAGGACCGAGTTTCCACTTAGTTTGAAACTCATTTTCGGGAAACTCGGTCGCGACTCCCCCGACACGTTGACGCATAAGTCGAACCCGACAGTCGGCTCATCGGCTTCCGGTAGCGTAACGAGCCGTTTAAACACTTGGACTATACGCCGATAAGCCGGCTCGGCGAGAAATGTCAATGTTGTCCCTGAATCCATAACAGTCCCTCCATTTCCTAGCTCATCAATTGCCCAAACGGAAGGGCGTATTGGTAATTTCACATCTTCAATATAAACACTTTCAATCCCAATATAGTAAAACGTTGAAGCAAACGGGTTACTTATAATCGGCGTGTAATTCATTTTCTTCGGATCGTTGACCGCCGTTGACCGGCCGATTAATAAATAACTCGTCGGAGTCGGCGATAATGTGTAATCCATTAAACAGTAAGAAAATTTGTTACCGAACCGGCGGCCGAGTTGACTCGATAACGAAATCGAACCGCGGCCTAAACCCATTACTCCCTGAGCTCCGTTGAAACTCGGACCGGCAATGCTTGGACCGGTAGCTTCAAAACTACAACCAAAAGCCAAATTCCTAAACTGCACCGGTCGACCGGAGCTGGCATTAAGCGTCGTCGTTTCAGTAGAGAAAAAACCTTTAGTTTCCGATCCATCGGAGTAAGAGTATTCGTATCTACAGGGGCTATGGAGGCGCGTGTGGTTACACGCGACGCCTGTAGGGTTAGGAACGAGCCTACATTTCTTGTCGTAGCAATGATAAGGGAAATAAGTTGAAGAATGCCGGGCGAGGAATGCGGAGTTTGGAGGGCGGGATGAGCAATTCCGGCAGGCGGAGCAACTGACCCAGACTAAATCACTACCGGTGTCGGCGACGAGGAGGAGGCGTTGCGGCGGAGTACCCAATCTGAGATCTACGAAGTACTGCCCACTGCCGGTAGTTGCACCGGAAGTTAATGGGAGTTTGGCGGAACGAGTAGTGCTGCGGTGGCCGAGGGAGGAGTAAAGGGTGTTTAAACGGCGGATATCGGAAGAGAGTGACTGTGAAGGAGTTGGGGGAAATGTGTCTTTGTGGAGTAATGGGAGTTTTAGGTATTCTAATTTTGTAGGGCGGTTGACAGCGGCGGCGGCGGAGATGAGGAGGAAGAAGAAGATTACTCCGGCGGCCCTTTCTGCCATTGAAGAAGATTAAATTAAGATGTGAGAAAAGAAAGAGAAATATGTAGGTATGGGGTTGGTTACATTTATACGTACGTGTTGCTCTCTCTATTGATTAGTATAAGATTCCATCACCAAGAAAACATAACATGCTCGACTTGGTGCTCTCTTAATCAGATGTTTCGAATTCAAGCTTTAGATATGAAAAAATTATTGATAGAGAATGCTTTTCTCTAAATGAAATCTACGTCGTGTGAATTTGTAATAGTTGAGCTTCAATACGAAAACCAAATATCAAGTGAAAATCCCAAAAAAACAACATAACATGCTTATTTTATATAGATATGTGATCTCAGTTTATTTATCGAATTTTTCCTTCAAATAAAATTTAAGAAAGTAAAAATAATAGAAAATTGAATTATTTGATCATCATATACTCCCTCTGTCCCATTTTATATGAGGTACTTTGACTCGGCACGAAGTTTAAGAAAGGAAGGAAGACTTTTAAAACTTGTGGTCCAAAATGAATGATAGAAATTTGTGTGGCTGTAAATCATTTCATTAAGGGTAAAATAGATATTTTATAGCTAAATTGTTACTTAAAATAGAAATGTGTCATTCTTTTTGGGACTGACTAAAAAGGAAAGTAAGTCATATAAATTGAGACAGAGGGAGTATTTATTTTTTTGGTTGGGGGTGGGGGGGTTTAGATGTGGTGTGATAAGGCATCATTCTGTTTTGCTAGGAACCAATTTCGATATGTCAGTTTAGATATCCTCATCAAACGTTTCTCAAATGGTCGAATGATTCTTCCAAAGAGCTAGAAGTGTAGAGTTATACTGATTTAATTCACTCACAAAATTCAAAAAGAAAAAAAATCAAGTAAAATGTATGTTTAAATAGAATTTCAAATTTCAAAAATCACAATTTAAAAAACTCAAATTTTCAACTTTAAAATCTATAACTATGAGACAAATTAAAAATGAATAGAACGGAGAGTATATATATTTTACATTAAACCATATTACTAATTAATACTTCATATGTAAAATTATTCCAAATTGTCATTTTATTATAAATAGTAAATTATGATCGAGTTAATACTTAATATATATGATGTTTGAATAAAGGTTTACCTTATACAGTCGAACTCCCTACAATAAATGTGTTTACTTTGATATTTATTATTTGCTTAACGAAATATTTTTATAGAGAATAAATTCAATAATTTAACATAAAATGAAACATCATTGCTACCTAAAATATGATTGTTATAGAGAATGAAATGTATTTGTTTATAGAGAATGGTTATTAAAAACATATATTTTTTTTAATCTATTAAAAACATATTTGACTATACTATAAGCAATTCATAAAATTTAAAATTAAATAAAAGTACGAACAAATTACTAAAAACAAGAGATGTCTATAGAAACATTAATTTAGTTAGTCGTTACCCAAAAGCCCAAAACAAACGAAAGCTGTCAAGGGAACAAAGCTAGGTCCTAACTATCGTACATATTATACTCGGTATCGAAGATTGAAATTCTTAATCAAAGATTTTAGGATCAAAGAAGTCTTAGGAATAAAAGCAAAATCTAGTAAGAAACACTTTCGTTATTATAAACTTTATATAATGCATATTTAAATTAGTTGAATTCTATATGAATATGAAGCTATTGAAATAAAGGTAAGATTACGGCATACAATAAATCCTTGTCCACAACTATAAGTTCACCAATGTCATGTATATTATATATACATGATCATAATTATAGTTTTTTTTTTACGTATACAGTGTATAGATACTGAATTTTCATGTATTTACTATTCATACTATGTTTTTTTTTAACGAAAATTTTGACTTCGCAGCTTTACGTACGACTAAGATGACATGTAAAACAAATGTCCCTACATTTACCGGCGTCTACTATTTGTCTGCCCTCTTACCCAGCTGTCACTCCCCGCATTTCATGGCTATATCTTCTCTGACGTTTGTGGTGTGTTAGGTTTCATATTATTACACTTTCAATTTCCAAAATAATTAAGAGAGAATTATTATTATTTGTTTATTTCCTTATTATTTTTAACATATTTTTGAAAAGGTAAAGTAATCGATAGTCATATCAATTATTTTTACTTATCACTTTTAACGTATCAAGAAAATATAAAATAGTCAATGGTCTGCTAAGTATAAATGTGTCAAGTAAAAGTGAATCTATTCAAACTACTCCCTCTGAAGGTTCTTCGTTTCATTTTAACTGTGTTTTAACTCCAAAAGAATTATAATAACAACAATATATTTAATATAATTCTATGCCCTCTATATTTTTGTAATTTTTTTTTATATTGTTTTGATATGTTATGATACTTTATTAGTTAAGGGTATTTTAGTAAATAACTTTTCTATCTTCTTACGCAGGAATGAGATTCACGTACATTTTATTTTTCTTAGACCTCACTTGTAAATATTTGTATGTTGTTATATATATATATATATAAAAAAAAAATTAAGTTGAATAATAACAAAGAAAATATTAATATAATCACCGTTGTGTAACACATCATGATGAGTGTTGATTCAAATTTATAAACTTGGATTACAATATTTCATTTTATAATTTAGTCTAATGTAAGAGTTGTGTATGAGTGAATATGACATGAACTTATCTTATAATTTTATACTTTAGTCTAAAGTCATTGATTAATTGGACATTTAATTTGTTCTCTCATTCACGTTACATTTCTTTATCTATTTTTTCCAACTCCTTTCCCATATCTCCCCTTATTTTGTATAATCAAGGAGATCAGATAAAGTTAATACACAATAATAATTGAATTAGAGATCAAATATTTATAGAAATTTGATAAATTTTTAAATATTTATAGAATATGATCACGTAAACTTCTAGATTATACTGAAGATCAGTCTCAAAATAATTATGCCCTCAATGATAATTGCTCTATTTCAAAAGTCAAATGGTTTTGGTATTTTCTTAACTACTACTTTATTAATATAAATAATGTAAAATTGTTTTCATAATTCTTTAGCCATATCTTTCTTGATTTGCATTATCTAGGAGACACATTCTCATATTCTACTGCACTAATTATGCACTCAATCACAACTACTCAATTTCAAAAGTCAAATTGTTTATGGTATTTATTAACTAATAATATAATATAATACTCTAACAAATAATTTAAAGTGGATACTTAGTGCTACATTTGGCCTCATGCATGTTATGTTTCATTATTTCATGAATTGTCAATTTTAATTTTGATCATTGTATTATGTAGTGCATTTTAAGTTTTTAACCTCCATTTATATATAAAATATGTTATATTTAGATTATGTTTAAAATTATATTACTCTCATATATGAAGTAACGATGCTGCTTAACATAATACATAAGTAATTAAAATGTAATGTATTACTAATTTATTGAATTTGTGATGATTCACATCACATATTTCAATTAAATAAATATTAAATATAATCAGTTAGATATTGCTAAAAGCTCAAATTCTCCCTTATTTAATGGCCAAATCATGTGTGAAGGAGAAATAATTTCTTTTAAATATACAATAAGTTTACATGTGCTCCTTGAATTAATAAATCCAATGGGCCTAATAGAGGCATACACATGGATATTACAAGATGAGCATTTAAAGTGATAGTTGATTTATTACACCCATTATTATACAAAAAAAAAAAAAAAGACATTTGAATAATCGGCTTGATTTTATCTCTTTTCATTTTGTTTGACTTATGAATCAAATACCATCATGACATGCGTATGCAATATCTAATCCTACTTGAAAGTATTTAAGGGAAAAATGACAAATATATCCCCGAACTATCATAAATAGTATGCAAATACCCTCCGTCATATTTTTGGGACATTGGTGCCCCTGTCGTCCAAAAACTAGAGCATATATACCCTTTATACTAACGAACATACAAGTGTCATAATCTTATCCATCGACCCAACATTTATTGAATATTAGATCAACGGGATAAGATTGCGCCACGTGTCCCTATGTAGTCTTCCGTTAGAGTGAAGGGCATATATATGCTCTAGTTTTTGGGTGGTAGAGACACCAATGTACCAAAAGTATGACGGAGGGTATCTGCATATCATTTACGATAGTTTAAGGGTATATTTATCCTTTTTCCAATATAGTATCTGATTTTAACTATATGTGTTATGTGTTTTTAAAGCAGCATTTGAATGTATATGAACGAGTGAAGAGGTTAATTGTATCATATGTATTATGACTAACTGGATTCAATATATGTGTTTCAAACTGCAAAGTAACTTCACTGCATATGAAGAATATGTAAAGTGTATGAGAAATTAAAATTAACACCTAAAAATATATGTTGTAAATATGTTATACGTGTATATCAAATATAATTTCTTGTTGTCTCTATTGAGTGTATTCACTACTAAGATTTTTTTATACACAAAATATATGTGCCTTATGGCTCATTGTTTAACCAATAGTGATCCAACATTTCTTAATCCAAATAACCTTTACAACCCTTTATTAAGTAAACTTAGTTTAATCTATTCAAATTCAATCTAATTCATTTATTTGACATCCCTTATACTAATTCATGATCTCATTAATTTTCCTACTTCTAGATAGTATGAAATATCAAATATTCATATATGTAAATGTTATGATTCGAAAATGAATATGATGACACTCATCTTATCTCACCAAGACACGTCAGCCTGAAACTCAATCATTACGATAAAGTGTGGAAATAAAATAAAATAAAAATAAAAATAAAATTTTAATAACAATTAATAATCGACTGATATTATGATTCAAAGGACTTGTCAAGCAAAAAAATAATACCTATACACAAGGTATTTTCTCCTTCAAAGATCTAAACCTAATTTTGGAAATATAAAGTTAATTTTGGACCCACTTATTTGTAAGCAATCACGTTGAACAAAGACAAGAGTGATTTTGGGATTTTGGTATACATGAATTAATTAAAGTACAC